TAGCCTATTCATCTGAGATTAAATTGCCAAATTCAACGGGCGAATGCAGTCGAATAACTTATACACAGAACAGTAAAATGTGCGATAGCCAAAACAATATGGAAATGAATGAGGGAAAACTGGATCCTACCACGTGATTTCCCGGCCGATAATAATGTAGCGTTAAACGTTTAACGCAACCTTGTTGGAAGTCGCATAAGAAGTATAATTTCAATAAAAAAAAAAATCTAATTTTTGTGCACTTTTTTCTTCAGAAAAATTAGTAAGGGAAGCGGTTAATCATCACTATCAAACCATACAATATAAGTTCATGCAATATATTTTCTATTTTTCAGCACTCAATTGAAATTGAATCTCCAAAAAATAAACGAAGTAAAGGATCATCTGATGCATGCTCATCGCCTGCAATGCAAAATCGCCTGAGTAAAATTTCCGTCACTAGCACATCAAGTAAGCATTCGATAGCGATATTTAGGACATTAATATCTTCATTATACAACAACATATTTTTCCTGTGCTCATAAATACTTTTATACAAGTTGTTTTAAATATCTTGTTATACTACTATATAAGATGTTTTATTATAAGTTGTTTTAAATATGCTGTTATACTATTATATAAGTTGTTTTGTTATAAGTTGTTTTAAATATCTTGTTACACTATTATAAAAGTTGTTTTAAATATCTTGTTATACTATTATATAAGTTGTTTTGTTATAAGTTGTTTTAAATATCTTGTTATACTATTATATAAGTTATTTTATTATAAGTTGTTTTTATCTTGTTATACTAGTATATAAGTTGTTTTATTGTAAGTTGTTTTAAATATCTTGTTATACTATTATATTAGTTGCTTTATTTCAACTTGTTTTAACCCACTGACGGTTCTGCACGTAAAAAGTCGCATTTTAACCTGCAGTCTTCTCTGCATAGCAAAACCGGTTTTCCCATGTTAACTGATAGGGGAACTGTGTGTAGGGGAGAAACATACTCTCAATTTTGCCCATTTCCTTAACCGCCAGTGGAAACATCTTGTTGCACTATTATATAAGTTGTTTTATTATAAGTTGTGTTAAATATCTTGTTATACTATTATATTAAGCTGTTTTATTATAAGTTGTTTTAAATATGTTGTAATAATATTATCTAAGTTGTTTTAATACAAGTTGTTTTTATTTTATTAGGTGGAAGTTCTGATCATAACGAAGTTAAGTTACAAAAAAAGAACAATGGAAGCTGCAGTGATGTGAGTAAAACTTTATTAACCCATAACATATGATTTATTTCTAAAAAAGAGGTGTTTATTATTTTTTAACGTATCTATTATTTTTTTCTCTAAAATATTGGACACTATAGTGCGTTCATGAAACAGATAGACCTTAAATAAACAAATAAGTTGCCAGAATGTTGATCAGGCTTAGTACTTATGGAGATTTTCTCTGCATTTTTCATTTCTAAAGAATCATGCTTGTTGTTCTTTCGAATGACACTTCCCAATGGCAGAAAACCTGATTGGTTAAACCAAGCGAATTTAAGGCGGAGGTTACGTTTCTTGTTTTTCATTGGTGCCATCTATGACTAAGAATACGACTTCAACCACAAACACGTCACTGCATGTTCATAGGGCGGATCCATTCATACATCCATCCATTCATTCATCCACAGATCGTAATTTTGACCTGACCAAAGAACGATCAATCTCCAATTCAGTGTCTCCAGAAGTATGATTTATTATGGGAACATGAGGACTTTAAAACCCGGCAAATTTAACGTGCACCAGTCACCATTTACTACACGGGGAGTCTTCAGCCGGCGGGGATCAGACTCACTACCTCTTGGACATGGGTCAAACGCCCTACCAACCAGGCTATCCAGACCCCAAGAATTATGCTACAAATGAATAATAGTTCAAAATCATTTTACTCTCCTGTTCCTAAAATGTGATTTTTTTCTGACGCTTTTTTACAAGACAAAATGTTCAACTGTTTTTTTTTCTAGATCGTTGTAGGAGTCAGTACCAGCAAATCACAATAAAAAAAGTTAATAAATACTCACCGTATGTTTAGCGCCCCGCCAAACAGCTAAACACGTGATTGACATGGCCAAGTGATGCATATTTTTATTTGCATCTAGTCTACTTTTCCGCTAAGCGGACTTTAGAACAATCACCAATTGAATTTTGCTGGAATTCACGTAAAGTTTAATATCATGTAGCATTTGACATATTGATTATGTCCTAATTAGTAAAATGCTAACCTCTGTTTTAAAATAAAAGAAACTAAAATAAATGGTAAGATTATTTTTACACTTTAGAATTTCTTTACTTCTTTCAGATACAAAAGAAACCATTACCACCAATACCAATTTCAGCACATTGTCCTGAAAAAATTAATAAAAGCAACGAAAAAGCTAAAATAACGAAAGAGGATGACTACCGATGCAGACAACAAGCCCGGAGATCGCCGATAAAGCCTGTACCTGCACCAAAACCCAAAATATTATTTAGGCAAAAATCAAACGCAATGGAACCTGAAAAATCTAGAATTGATTTGATGCCCGAAGGTAAGGAAACCATTTTGCTACTTTTGCTAGAAACTATATAATGACTTTTAAGAATTATGAGCTATTTATTTAAAAATAAATTTTAAAAACTGCGATTGTAGTATTATGATTGTTCGAAATCATTTTTTCTTACTTTATTTGTATGGTAAAATCGAAATATACTAACTGAGTCACATATTTTTTAATGAGATTTGAGTTCAAAATTTTAAAAATAGTGCGATTTCTTACAATACCTTAACAGTGCGCTGCATGAAAATATTACTAATATGCAATTAATAAGACTACAACATAGAATACGCCAAATAAGAAGCTATTTATGTAGTATAAAGACTGTTAATGAATTAATAATCACAAATGTGAGGGGTGATATAACTTGTCAAAAACAAACAACACTTCAATCGAATAGCCAGACTGGTTGCCAGATATAACGCACAATTCAAATGCAGAGAATACTAGTATATGCTAGTGTACGAGGCTACAGAAGGTATAATAGAAAACGCGTTATTCTTTTTTTTTCTTGAGTAGTAAAGTAAACTGTTAACTGACCTTGTAGTAAAAACGCAAATACGCTGGTGTCCCAAAATTTAAGTAGAATTAATGTTTATGGAGATATGCAAGAAAAATATAAATCAGAATTCCAGTAAGTGAGATAGGGAAATACATCAAGAATAATATCGTTATAAGAAAACAAAGTAAAAAAAAAAATAGTGCGTAGAGTCCCTCCGCTCGTAAGAAGTTAAACTTCGCAACCTGCGACGTTAATTGTAGAAGAATCAGCAGTCGTAGAAGGATCACTAGTTCTATTCAACGACTCTTTTTTCTGCTCCGCTCGCTTCCGTGCTCTGTAATCACGGTAATATTATGCATTTTTCCCTCGTGGACCTCTTGAACCAGTGGAAGTGCTAGCGGTTGCCTCATCGTTTCGCCCTGGAAAATGTATTTGTATTAATAATGCATGCGTCATAATGTAATTTCAGAAGAGAAAACCTAACAATCAATTGATATTCACAAGAGGCGTGTGGTGTGGCTAAATCAAAAAGGGGGGTGACTAACATTAAGTCAACTTAAGATTAAATAAAATTTAGATACTAATTATGTAAAGGCCGAAAAGGTGATAATGGCGTTCGTTGGAAGTGGGTACAAATTTTCAGGTAAGCGCAACAATGGAGCATGCTGGAAAAAAAAGGAAGAGAAAACAACTTATACTGTAAAATTACTCACCAGACTCATAGTTAAGGATGCAGAAAAACATAGTTTATTTATAAGATAACATTTATAAAAAGGTAAAAATGCTTGGCAAACACGCCAACACCAAAAATCGGCCTAAGCCGAAAACCCAAAAAAACACACAATTGAGAGGAAAACAACTGCTACTGACTATTTCTTCGTTATGAAGATAGGGGAGAAAACTCTCGCCAAAAAAATTAAACTTTTGCGAATAACCATTCGGTTGGCTGGAGAAGGATCAGAGGGGCAAATCACAGAGCTGCAAATATTGGCCAACTGGCGAAATTAATTGTTAAGCTCCATGCCAAACATGAAGCGGGGTTGTCTAAAGTGGTGACACACCTGGTAAAGAATTTTGTGGAATGTTCTGGAACATTCTTGGCGCCATCATAAGATCAAAAGGGGCGCTTTGCATTTGATGCAAGCCGAAACGTGGGAAAGGTGACTTGGTGCCAATTCCTTCTCCCTCCAACAATAGGGGTTTGCTGACTGGACATACATCTTGCTGTCAGCAAGTAACAAAAGGAGGAATCTTCTTTTAAAGGAAGAACATAAATGCAGAGAAAGATTACTTTCCCAAGGTTACAAAACAAATTGAGGCTTAAAACTTAAATATTACATGAAATATATTGCAAAGAATTATTGAATACTGATAAATAAATAACATTAATTACAAGTGTAAAAAGAAGAAATTAAAAAAACATACAATTAAAAGTTTATCACAAATTTAACAGTTACAATTATTTAAGCGTTTAATACATTATTAACAAATTAACAATTAACAAATGATTATTAAATTAGATGAATGATGATGATTAAATAAATTAGATGATTAGATAATTAAATTAGAATTAACAATTGATTTTACTTAATATGTAGTATACCATACTACAAGGCGTACCTTGACATAACCTTAAATCCGTCGCATTGTCCGTTGGATTGTTTTCACTCATTTTTTACAATTGTTATCCACTAAATTTGAAAATAAAAAATACTACCCTATTAAATTGTATGTGTATCAAATCAAACTAAAAAAATATTTATAGAAGAACAATACTTTTATTATTTTTATGCTAGTGAGAACCAAAACAATTTGGAAATGAATGAGGGAAAACTGAATCCTACCACGTAATTTCCCGGGGAATAAAAATGTAGCGTTAAACGTTTAACGCAACCTGGTTGGAGGTCGCATAAGAAGTATAACTTCAATAAGGAAATAATCCAAACAATACTTATTATATTACGAATTACTTATTCTTTTCGTATTGTTATACGTAAATTTCAAGCCAGAAGAAAAAGCTGAAAAGTAGTTAACTTTTTGTGCAATAATCATACAAGCACATTTTTTTGTTGTCTTTTAACTACTCTTTGTCTTTATAAAAATTTTTCTTTCTGCAGAAAATATATATTAAAATATATTAATAATGAAAATGATATATTTTTATAAAATAGTTATAGGGACAGGATGGGTAAAATGGGATAGTATGGCAAAATAGAGTTTTTCATAATCTCGCTCGTTAGAGTGTTTTGCTATAAGTTGTGCACATCATGTCTGATGTGCTCTTCTAGATGAAATACTTCTTGAAGTATCTCAGATAGATACGTTCCATTATCCTGATCTGTATGGCTGTTTGGCTAATTTATTTGTTAGGTTCGCGTGCCGACAATTACAGTTTGAAATTTCTGTTGAAAGGTTTTTTTTTCAATAAAGAACGTGAAAAAGAAGAACAATATTCATTGAAATTTTTTAATTTGGCCTAGTTGTTTTACATGTCTACCTTGTTGAGCGAAACTGGATGTTTTTAGATAAGTTCTTTTTTGCCTTAATCTTCTGAATTCTTTTCTAAACTTAAAATTTAAAAAATGGAAAAAATGACGAAATGAAATAGCTATAAATTAGATCAGCAACGGAAAAGTAAATAAAGCAGCTAATACAATAATCACATTTACGTTTGACACATCGAACTTAAAGACTTTAATTCTAATGGTTTGGATGCAAAATAGATGCAGATAATAGAGCAGTATATGCAATATATGGGCTCAATTTGTGCGTGGTGTTATGCAGCATGATGATACATTTATCTGTGAACTATTTATGTTCCGTTAACCTGTATTTGTAATCCGTTTCATTCTACACCTTAAGGTAAAGTGGAACAGCTTTGAATCTAGTTCTATTTAGATAATCAAATATGCTGCGTACTTTAATTAACACAGAGCCTTAACTTTTCATTTAACCAAGAGTTATTATTTTTTTATATTTTATAACCGTTGTTGAACAGAAGACACAGTTTAGCTTTTACAACTACCAATGCTCAACTCCGCAGTCTCATAATTTTGAATCCGATCCAGAAGACAAGGGAACTATTGGATCAAGTATAGGGAGAAATTTGCCTCCGTGGAGGACTTTTTGATGAAATTCACCCGTTACTTGGAGAGAAAAACCTCGTAAACCTCTCATGGTTAGTCTGACGGCAAGCTAACCTTTATCCATCTACCCCTGAGGATATTTACGTCAGCACTGTGGTCGGTGCGAGCTGGGTACGAAATTCGAATCAATCAGCCATCGCTGGGATCGAAACCGAGTCACCTTATTGGGAGGCGAGCGCTCTATCCGCTGAGCCGCCACGGCTCAAGACAGAGTTATTTGCCAGAATATCCCACTTTTGTCCAGCCTTTCCCCTAAAGAACATTTTATTTTATTAACTTTTTTTTTCAGTGGAGGCTCCATCGCCCCCTAGCTCACCAGACTACATAATCCCTAAAAATAGGTCTTTCCGAGAATACCAACTGAATAAGTTTAAAGAAAGAGCAGCTGCGGGTTCTGTAACCAACAAGGTTAAGAATACGCAAATAAGCACGGAAGTCAAAACAGAAAAAGTATTACTGCCGACTAGAATTTCTCACGCCACTAATGTCTCCAGACCGTTCTTGAATTCAACGTCAAGCTCCGTCGCGGATGATGGACCTGTGTTACCACCAGAAACCCTTTTGTTGCTGAAGGAGGCTAATTTAATCAGTCCAGAAATATTACCAACTCCCACTAAGAATGAAATGTCTCTGTTTTATGTAAGAAGATGTAGTTCAGTACCCAGTATGAGTCTCCAGCATTTGTCTAGTCAGCCCATTTACCTGGAACTTTTAGGTCAAGTGGAAGGTGAGCCCAATAGAATGTCGAATACTCTGAATGTTGGACACAAGACATAATGAAAAGACAGTAACATTCAAAGTGCTGGTTAGTATAATATTTGTGTGTAAATTCTCAATGGAATAAATTTTAATAAATTCAGTACTCAACGTTGTTCGAAAATACAATTCAGTACTCAGAATGATTGTGTTGCATTTAATGAAAATGAGCCCAAAAAGATTCCCCTACCATGAATGTTATAAATGATGCACCCAAAACTGAGCAAAATCGGATGTACCATTAAGTTCATCCAAATAAAGGAAAGCTAGCTTATTTAACTAGATTACACTTCAACGTATGGAAGTGAAATTTCGCTTTCTTTTATTTGATTAAGAGTGAAAAAGCAAAATAAATAGATAAAATATCGGAAACAATGCATCTAAATAGTATCTAAGTATAAATTACATTTATAAAATCTTACAATATGTCTTATAAGTATTTGATAATAATAGCTTATTTAATCACTTTCCCTAGTAACCCCTTTCTTTTCTATCGCCAAAGTCAGATGCACGATGTCTTGAAATTTTTTACTACTTACAAAGAGAAGGGTATTTTATAGTTTGTCACAGCTTTTGGATGTTCAGGTTTTGAGTTATCTTTACTACACTGTTTCAAATTGTCTTTAAAGGTTACAATTACTATGAAAAGCAAAATAAAGATCCTTTATTTCGCTTTTCATAGTAATTGTATTATCAAATGGAGAATATTATGAATGTATATAAGCAAGGTATGATGAAGTTAGCACTTCTCTATTGTAGAATAAGTGTTGCTAAGTGGTATCTATTAAAATATATTAACAGACATATTAATAACGGATTAATATATGTGTTTAATATACACTTTAATCATTTGAGACTATGTATTTCCTTCTCTTTTGCTCAGAAAAAGTTCCTAACTTGGTTAAATTAACCTCGTAATTGGTTTAATTAACCTCTAAGGATGTCTTGAAATTTTTTACCACTTACAAAGAAACGAGTATTTAATAGTTTGTCACTGATTCGAACTTTTTTTTTTTTTTTGGATGTCCGAGTTTTGAGTTATCTTTAAAAGTTAATGTCCTTTATTTTGCCTCTCATAGTAATTGTATTATGAAATGGAGAGTATTATGAATGTATATAAGCAAGTTACGATGAAGTTAGCACTTCTCTATTGTAGAATAAGTGTTGCTATGTAGAATCATAAAATATATTAACATACATATAAATAATGGATTAATATATGTGTATATATACATTTCACTCATTTATTTCCTTCTCTTTTGCTCAAAAATTAAGTTCCTAAGTAGGTTAAATTGAGTGTATATAAATAAATAAATATTTGGAGAAATAGATTTGTGGAATTGAGTATTGTAAGAAAGTGTATTTTTATATAGATATAACCTTTTTTCTGTAGATATTGCGTTGCTAAATAAAACATATTAAGAATATATATAATTATACAAGTATCTGTAAGGTTATGTAACATCCGTTTTTGTAGAAATGTATTGGTCGAATAGAGTATATAACATGTACCTTTATATAAAAACATCTGTAAAGATACAGAATTAAAGTTTTTGTCGAAATCGAATTCTGTCTAATCGAATCGAATTTGATGTATATAGTATATTAGTTATGTAGAATATTAATATACTCTGTATATTTAATTGATGTCGATAAAAACATAACTTTAGCATGAATCTTTACAGATCCACAAAAATAGATGAATTACTTTTCTGTTGAAGTTGATTGCTAATAAGACCACATTAAAAGTCTGTATATCCTTACAAATGTCTATTAAAGTATGCAACTTTCTTTTTTTAGAAATTGATTTGCTAAATAGAGTATGTAACAATATGTGTCATAATATAAGCATCTTTAAATAAAGATACTTAATTTCCATTTTTTGTAGAAATGGATTTTTTAAATAGAATATTAAGGATGTGTGTGTATGCACAAATATCTATAAATATAAATAAATTACTTTTCTTCATAAATTGAGTTTCAATTAGTACTTATTGAGAATGAGATAAAAGTTTTAAGATGCTTAGTAGATATTGAGTTATAATTTTAAAGACACGTCTACAAGTACCTTTAAAACGATACAACTTCCTTTTTGAAAGAAAAAAATTTACTAAATAGCGTATATTACGAATGTGATATAAAGTCTATAAAGATACAGTTATTTCATTTTTTTCTAGAAATTGAGTAGCGAATTAGAATAAATATATTGATTTGTATAAACATTCGCAAATATATACACCGAAGAGCCGTTACATTAGGACTACCTTTAGCCCTCAAAACTGCTAGCACACGCCGTGGCATTGATTCTACAAGGTGCCGAAGGTAGTCAGAGGTATCTGGTACCAAGCGCTCACCAACTGGTCCTGCAATTCCCTCACATTGCGAGGGCGTAGCGTGGCAGCACGAATTTGGTTTTCCAAGTAGGACCACAAATCCTCTATTGGATTAGATTAAGGCCAGGTGAATTTGGCGGCCAAGACATGACTTGAAAGTCACTGGAAAGTTCCTCGAACCAATCCATGACGATTCGACCCTTATGACATGGTGCATTATCCTGTTGGTAAACACCATCCCCCACAGGAAAAACTGTTGCCATGAATGGTTGAACCTGGTCTGCAACTATGTTCAAGTAGCTTACAGAGGTCAGGGATTGTTCTATGAGGATTATGGGTCCTAATGTGCCCATAAAAACATTGTTCCTGGGCGAGAAAGCATGAAAACCTGGGCGATCTCATTGTTATAGATGGAGGGTGGTCATAATGTAATGGCTCTTCGGTGTATGTTGTAATTGATACTTAATAAAAAAAGTGACACAGAGACAAGGCAGATTTTACATAGTTTATTTTTCCTGCAAATAAGCAGGAAAATGGAACACATTTGTTTTCTTATTGACATAGAACAAAGACGTCACATTTATCAACACTGGGATTGTAGGAGCTACATGTTCTCCGCTTTCAACACACTTTTAAATTATCAATTAATCATTAATTCTTTTTTTTTTAAAAACAACACTCTTATCAGTTAATAGTTTTATTTTACACAATACAACAATTTTTGTAGCCACTTTTTACAGCGAAATAAAATAATTAAAAAGCATACAAGTCAAAAATACAACATGCGCTCTAATCACATGAAGACTGTGCTTCTTTTTTCAAGCACAAAAAACATCCACAAATTGAAAATTTAAAGCGCTTTGCATCAATATTACAGTAACTCATTTTTACAGCATCTTTGCCTTTCCATTAACATAAAAAATTTACAAGCAGTTTGTATACGTTTTAATAGAAGTCGCGAAATTTGTCTATCTTTCTTCTTTTTCTAAGACAGTATTATAACAGTTCTTTCTTTTTTGATAAAGTCATAAGTAAATTTTTTTCGTTGGGTTATCGTTTTCAAATGTAACAAATAAAAAAAAGAATTTATTAACAATTTAATTTCAGGTACTATGCTAGTATTGGAAAAAATTATAACAAGTAATCGTTAAAAACGGTTATTTCTTTATTTTTCTCATAAAAAAACCGACAAAGAACTTTACTCATCTTGAATCAATAAGAAAATAATAGATATGTAAAAAATATGTAGAACAAAACAAGAGCGCATTTTATTACCTAAACTTCTTTTTAGTAATCGAAATACATATGCTATTTTGAATATTAAAATTCTACAACCAAATTAATCATCTGATATCTCGCAAAAAATATATATTGCAGCAAACAATTCTTTTGAATAATATTTAAATTTATATTATAAAACTTCAAAATTTAAAATGAAAAAGACATTAGCTTTTTTAAATTTGTTATAATACACAAATGTAAAGTAGGTAAAAGTCAAAACATTTTTATCGATTTGCTGTAAATTTAAAATTTTGAAGTTAGTAACAATTTGTGAGAAAATATAGCAGACGATTTTTTATAAATTTTAGACAACTATGTTAAACTAATTAGCAGTATTCGTGTGACTATCAGAATCAAAAGCAATAGTTAATCATTCTTTTAAAGAACTCTTTGCCTGCATTTTTGTGTATTTCAAATTCTGTAACAGTCTTCCAGAAAATACAGCAGGCGATATTTTTAAAAATATCAAACGATTTTATTAAATTTTATTTGTCATTAAAAAAATAGAACTTTTTTTTTTAAATAAAATTCACAAACGAAACAGATCGGGTAAAAATATACTTATGGCTTCATCAAATAAAGAAATAATCTCTCAATATCAATTGTTCAAAAAGTATTGAGAAAACGGTTCAACACACGTAAATACAAATTCTGCGCATCAGTAAAAATAATATGCAGGCTTATATAGGATCACAAAAAGCACTAACTCTGCACCTGCACATTAGAGTAATGAAAACTTTATAAAATTATTGCATATATAGTGGAAGCATGTATTTCATTTGTTTGTATTTTTTTTATTCAAAAAATTCTTTCAGGGAAAAAATTATGCAGAAAAATACAGAACTAAATTCTAGTCTCCAAATTTTTTTTTCTCCACGTCATGTGTAAGTTTTTTTCAAAAGTAGTTTTTATCACAATAAATAGAGGTATTATTAAATGCCATTTATAAAGCAAAGAGCTTCAAGTATATAAAAAAACTTCCCTTTTTCAATCTCCTGTTCGAGCAAGCCATTTGTCAATTTAGAGTTTTTGTTTCAGCAAAATTTTTTAAGCAAATAAACAACAGTTATTACCATAACACACATAGATATCAATAAAACACATTTTTTCAAAAAGGAACATTTAGAACTGATAAAGAGCCAAGTACAAATTAAAACATAACTTATTTTTTCAAGTTATGGCGAAACAAATAACCATCCCATGAAAAAGCAGTTGGTGTTTTCAAATACTTAGGAAATCCTAAATGCATAAATAAATGACTCGGTATAAATTACAAAATGAAAAATTATAAACAATCTGTACACGTAGTGTTCCACACATTGATTATATAATGAACAAGTGATTGTACACAAGTGTATATATATATAGTGTTGTGTGTATATATATATAATGATTGAATAAGCTTTGTCAAAATTTCGAATAATACTAATAGTACCAACAATACATGTACTGTTTCATATGTTTGAAAGATGCAGAAAGTTCGGCTAAATATTGCAGTTGTATTAAAAATTGCGCAACCTACCTGTGCAGTTGTTTTAGTAACAGTACGGCGCTAAACTCAAGTGTCGAATGTGAATTTAAATAGCCCATCTAACGCAAACTAAGTCAAAATTTGCATTTTACACATTTGCAAACGCAATTATGCCATTTTTGTCGGTTTTAAATGAGTGAAATAAAAGTTTTCTTAAAAAAAAAAAAAAAAAAAGGTCTACCCATCTTAGATAGAGGATTAACAAGCGAACTCGACTTGCAATCATCTGCGTGTCTTTAAATGCTTTAGAAATAGTGTACAAAAACAAAATTTGATTTAATATTAAAAAAATGTGGTTTGTTTAGGAGGAAAATTTCATGGAGGGAATATGGTCGCAAACCATAAAACCAACGTGAAAAAGTGCGCCAGCACTCTTTAAAACCGTCCGCAATTTTAAAGTGTAAAACTAAAATAGAAATGCTCAAATATTGGCGTTTTTTTATATAATAATATTGTAATGAATCAGTAAAATATTTGGTTTCGTATTTACTTTTTGATGACAGTTATTACAGTTCGCAACTAAGTAAATTAACAACAAGGAAAATAGTTGTTTTAAACATTGTATGCTGGGAATAAAGAGCACAAAAAAAATTCATGTAATTAAAACAGGGATACTTACAAAATGCTAACAAATGGAACGCATATAAATCAATATAAATTTTAAGTAAGGAAATTACGTAGAATTGAAAAAAAAAATAATGCGTATAACACTTAAAAACAGAAAAACATGATGTAATTTTATAAAACGAAATGTTAAATTTTTAAGAATCATATTTAGTGTGTTATAACACATTTTAAATTTAAATTTATGACTGTGTTCTGTTATGGCTAATTTATGTTTATGGCTGTAAATTTCTTCTAAGGAAGAAAAGTTTAGAAGTATCTTATTATACAGGTGGAAAATATATTTAAACTGTTTGAATCAACAATAATTAACTAATTCGGTTTTCATAATTCCTGTGAAAAGAAATTCCATACCGTAATTTTGTGACAGGGAAAACTACGCGAGAATTACGACTACTTTAGAATTTTATTATAATATATATTATAATATATATTAAGCACTAACTGAAGTGTTTAATCTAGGCGTTACCGTAATTTTTTGTTCTTTTTAAATCGAATATCAAGCAGAAGATAATTTTAAGCAGCAATTTAATAGAAATGATGCAGATACTAAAGATGAATATCAAGGCACTTTTTTGAAGAGGAGCATAACGCCAATAAAAAAGGAGGACTAATTAATTAAACTAGTTAACACAGCGATTAAACATTCAATTCTACACGTTAAGTTAAGCGATAATTTTATTATAACTTGTATGGTTGTCAATAAAAAGTATTATAAGAAAATATCTCAAAAATATCAGTAAAGCTTAATACTGAGAAGTTTCAATTTGTAGTGATTTTAGTTCCAAGGCCTCCCATTTCTTCGATTTTGTGAGAAAAAAAAAGAAAGAAAAAACGCTATTGGCTTAAAAATAGCAAGCACAATTTTGGGCAATTATTTTTAACAATTTATATTGTATTCCTAATTTTTACGCTTTTTTTTTTAAATTTTAAATTATATCGATTGATTTTTTTAAAATTATAAAAAGCAGTTTCCATTTAAATAGTACTGATAAGAAACAATTTTCTTTTCGATAGCATTTTAAAGCAGCTTTCCTTTAAATAGTACTGAAAATACAGTTTTTAAAAAAGTTTTTTTTGTTTTAGTAATACTTAAAAGCAGTTTTTCTCTAAGCAACAATTAAAAAAGAAATTTTTATTTTTGCAGAATTAAAAATCTGTTTTTAGTTTTAATAGTACTTGAGAACTATTTTATCAGCGGAAATTTAAAATAAAAAAAAATATATAAATGACTAGTAGCATTGTTGTTCACGAATCTAAACTAAAAACAAGATAGCTAAGCAGGGTATTAAACACACTTAAACTGACACGAAAAAAATCACAAATAAACAAATCATGTACACAATGAAAAAAAAATTATTATTTTTTTTTATGTGTCGCAGTTACAGTTAAATATAAAGTCATTATAAAGAATATCTTTTTCGTGTTATTATTTTTAATTTTTTCACACGTAGGCAAGCAGGGTGAAAAAAAGCTACAAGTTACAAATGTATTTACAACAATATATCACGTAAAGGAATAGCACTTTGTTGCCTATACAAAGCAGACTTTTTTTCCACCAAGGCATTGGTAAAATATTGGCTCGCTTAGATATATTGCTGAAAGATGGCGCCACCATTTAATGTTGGCAGAAATTAAACTGCACTTGATAATTTTTTTTTCTTTTTTTTTTAAGTTTTCAGATAAGACTAATATCTAAATCGAATATGTACAACTCAACTAAGTGACAATTTGTGTATTGCAAAGTTTTTTTGCTGCATTTCCTTTTAGTGCATTTTCAATCACTTTTTCCTACAATGCAAGCCCTAAATCGGCATTTTTCAATAACAAAATTTGATTGATGAACAAAAGAAAACAATTTTATCAACTTAAATAGCAGGGGTATATATGTATAGTCATTTATAATATATATATAATATGTGTATAACAAATATGAAACAGCTCTGATTTTTTTTTCCTGTTAATAACAACTGTACACATGACGAAACAACGGGAAGTACTATTGCTCTGTTTGTGAAAAGCGTTGATTTTTTTTTGTATATATTTTTTTTCTCTGCTAGACTTTTTTTCATCTAACAATCTACATAGTCTACATAACTACATTGAAGTGTCACACAATTACATTTACAAGGTGAAACTCCTTTTGTTGTACACACAGCATTAAAGGAGTTTTATATATTTATATATATATTTATATAATAATAATAATCGCTGCCAAAAATTGCCACAGAAAAAATGTCCTTTAAGTATTGCCTCGAGATAAGAGTTAGGGTGCCAATGTTCAGGTTGTTGTTTTTTTTCTTCTAGCAAACTACAATGACTCAAAAAATCAAACAACAGACTGGAAGAGTACATGTAACATCATCGGAGTGACCAAAAAATGTGTAATAAATGTCCATAACACACATTACGAACATGATCAGAAAATAACCAACCACAAAATACATAGTTATGTATATGAATGATGTATGTATATATATATATACGCATTTAGTAAACTTTTCAATATAAGGTAAAAACATTTTGACAAGCGACACTTTTTCGAAGTGGGCCTCTCCACACATTAACACCAAAGGTGTATTTTAATAGCTTTCTAATGTCACAGAGCTACAGACCATTCATCAAAGATTATTGCTGCAAAGTTGGAAAATGAGAGCTGAATTGAAACAGGCTCACAACTGTATTAACTACATAATTTGACCACAAAGATGAACTATTTTAAATACTACCAGTTTGAAATTAATGCAATTAAGAAGTTTTAGGGAAATGGTAGACTCTTACGGCCTTGGCAATACTCGAAAGTCCCAAAATGCATTACATGATTTGAATATCCTTAAAAATACCCCCCGTGATCAGAATATCCAAAAATCCTCACAATATCTCTCTCTAAATTACTGCAAAAACCTTAAATACGCGATGTTTTTTTGAAAAATTATCATTTCTAGTTTTCCTGTAGTTTAGGTAAACAAGACTATTTCTTTAAATGCAATTTCCTTATAACATTTCATAAGCTATTTCATTAGTTCTGATTACGGATTTTTTTTTCAAAATTTTGAATTATTTATTGTTTTAATTAAAACTATATTTCCAAAAATAAATTAACAATATTTTTTTACGTTCTTCTGAAGAATCTGCGCATAATTTTGCGATTTTGTAAAAAAAATAGGGTCTTAATTTTTTTGGAAAGTAAAAAAAAAAAAAAAAAAAACTATGATTTGATTTGACTTTTTCTTTTAAATTGCAAAAAAATATACTCATAAATGAAAGAATATGTGAAAATAAGGTCCTGCATTTCAGACACAAAAAAAAAAACACACACACAAAAACCATGTCTTTTAAGAAATTTTAGTTCTAAAATTTTGACATGAAGACGTCATTGACTTCGTTTTTCAAAAACAAGGATTTATGAAAATTCCGTTTTCGCGATGTGCCCATTTTGACGATAAAATATTTCCTGATGGGTCCATTTTAGTGATAGAACTTTTTGTGATGTGTCCACTTTTAAGACAAAATCTTTTACAGTGGATCCTTTTGAGGATAAAATATTTTGGAATAGATCGTTTTAATGATAAAATTTTCATAAGGGTCTATTAATGGGCCGAAACTCATAAAATGGTCCCAGTCAAGACTTAAAAAAGTGGTGTAACAATAAATTGGAAAAAATACAACATGTAACAATAATGGTGCATTTAAGTGTTTATCAACTTTATTCTTAGCTACATTATATGAATCTCCATTTATGGCACTATTTTGCGAGTGTGTTTACATTATCATAAAATTATTTTATCATTAAATGCAAGTAATATTTCTATGTTATTGCTAAGCATTCAAGGAACTTTGAGTGAACCTACTATCAGATATTACTTTAAAAAGATAAAATTTTGCAACAGCTTTGTTGTTCATTTAGTAATTACTTTAATAATTTCCAATGTAATCCGTCGAAGTTAGTGTTATATGTAGGATTTAAAATAGCTGATATTTCTGGTCAACTTTACAAGAAACCACTATAAACAGTGAACAAGATATAAATAAAGGCTTTAAAAGGAATACTTTAAATCTAAGAGCGGATCGTTGTCATAGAAAACAGCCAATGCACAACAATAATTACTTTGTTTATAAGATTTAATCTATTACAATAGAGTTTGACAAGGCAGGGTCTTTGAAAAGCTTTTTCAGTGCAAGAAAAACACATAAAAAGATTAAAAAAACATAGATTTTTTTTTTAAATAAGAATTTATGGAGCAACAAAAAAACTATATTATACAATGGAATTTTTTCAGGGAATAAAACACAAACTTTAATCCACACGGCTATTAGAAAAGAATTATTTGAATTTTAAAAGCTATATTTCACAAGTATAGTGTGTAGTAACTAATTACACACACAAACAATATTTCTGTTAATTTGCAAAATATATCTTTATAAAATCCCGTCATCACTTTAAAATGACCCTGTATAATAAAATAACAAATTTGAAAAAAAAAATATTTAGTTTTCAATAAAATTTATACAAATTTTTCACTGTGAATATTAAACAATAAAATTTCAAACCAAATAAAAAATATCGCAGTTTTTAATTACTTATTTTTATGTTAAAGAATTTGATTAAATTATTTTAATGAAATTCAAATAAGATACATAAATAGTAAATACTTATTAAAAAAGATTTAAAAAAAAAACAAACTAAAAACATATTTTTCAAAGGAGTTTAGAGATCATGCAATGAAACATAGATAAAAGCAGTTCCTCATTTGAACTAGAGCTTGTGCATTGGTATTGCTATAACATTTCGTGCTGAGGCTAATGGAAATCAAACAAATAAATACATTTTATGCAAAAGAATTTATTATAAATACTAGATTTACTTGATGCAAATATAAAGTCTATATCACCAATAAAATCACAGTAGCAGGTAGCAAAAAATATTCATAAATATAATTCATCTGCTTATTTTATAGTATAATTATAATTAACAGTTGTAGTGAAATAGACACGTTTTACAAAGACACTTAATAGCAATTCGAACCATAAAGCAGCCCATTTTTAAGTTAAAATTGTCAATGTAAACAAAAAAACAATGAGAATGATATTTAAGATAATAAAACTCAATATATAATTACATTTTACTTTACCAATAATAATGATGTAAATATATTTAATCTAAACAATTTATTAAAGTAGAATTGTAAAAAAGTACATTTACACTTAATTCCAATTAGAAGTTGTTTCCCGTTAAGAGGACAGTTGATTTGCACTGATTTTAAATATATTTTAGGAAGCCCAGATTTCATTTTGTAGAAATGATTAACAAAAGTCAGAAATTGTAATCATAAATTTATTTCTTATATGATAAAGGCTTGTATCAAATTAATAAATACGTCAATCTCCAATAGTTCTCAAAATATCTTTGAATGGTTTTAGGTCACTTGTTTGGTTTTTAGGTACTGTTATTGTTAAACTGCATTATTTAATAAAGAATTATTGATATCAAACAAAAAGAAGCGTTGAAGTTAAAGCTTGTAATATGAAGTGCATATTGTACTTATATTAAAAAATAATAGCCTTAAAAAAAGCTTTCAATAAAAAAATCCATAAAAAAAGCTTTTAATATTGCATTTGCGTTAAAAAAAAGAATAACGATGGATTTAAAGCTTATAATAAGAAATGCATATCAGATTTACATTAAAAAATAGCTATGGTTATCAAAATTCATGATAAGAAATGCATAATATATCCGTGTTAAAAAAGTAGCGATGGAACTAAGGCTTATAATGAGAAATGCATATTCGATTTGTGTTAAAAAAACAATAGCGATGTAAATAAAACAGAAAAAGCATTTTGCATTTGTGTTAAAAAAAGAATAGCGATGGAGCCTAAGCCTATAGTAAGAAATGCATATTGTATTTGTGTTAAAAATCTACCAATGGTGTTAAAACTAATAATAAAAAATGCATATTAGATTTATGTTAGAAATAGAATAGCAATGGAAATAAAGCAAGGAATGCACATTGCATTTGTGTTAAAAAATTAAATTAACTAAAATAAGAAATGCATTTGGGTAAAAATAAAATGGGGATGCAATAAAAGATAATAAAAACATATAAACACTATATTTGTGTTAAAATAGAATAGTTATGATAGCAAAGCATTTCTTGTTAACAAATAAACAATGTAGTTGCCCAAAAAATTTAATATTAAAAAAAATAGAAGCAAAAAATTTAATTTGAAAATTAAAATAAGTATGCTTTGAAACTTTATGTATGCAATATATGAAGAAAAAAAATTAAACGAAATTATTTTTAAAACCAAATAAAATTTAATGGTAACATAAAATTAAAATAAATACGACTCCTTTTTAAAGATATATAGAGAAAATACTTATATTAATACAAAAATTTGTTAAAATCAAAATAACTTCTGTTAATGACAACAAAACTTGTCTGGTATAAATCTTTAAAAATAGAAAACCTGTAAAAATGCAAGCATCACAAATAACAATAAATCTTTGGTATAAAATTAATAATTTTTAGTCAAATGAAACTATAATGATGAATGTGAATAACATAAATAGTTTATCAATAAATAGTATTTTTTTCCAAATTTTATTAAAATAATTAGTAGGCCACTTAAAAAATTATTTTTTTGTATCATGGAGGCTGATTATTAAAAATAAGATTTATTTTTTTAATATAATTTATCATAATATTGAATTAGGTAACAAAAGTTTGGTACAAAGTTTTAAAGAACAGTTATACTGTATTATATTGGGTACTTTTAATTCTAGCAGCAAATAAGGCTTGTTTCCACACTGGGAAACACAGCCTGGATGCATATATTTATTTTATCCATAGCAGTAGCAGTTTATTACAATTTGTTCAAAATGAATTAATAATATTAAAATTATATGTAATTTAAAAAGATTAAAGCTAGATTTTTTAAATGACAAGTTTCAGAACATTTAACAAATGTCATATATAATAATTTTTTTTTGCCCAAGTGAAAACATACCACTTTTTAATATGCAAAATTCTGTAAAAAATAATAATAGAGAGATTTAGCATATCCATGGAGCATCTCGTAATACGTATATTCTGTGCAAGCTCTACAGAAAACCGAGGTTGTTCTGCAGTAACTGCACTGTACGTACGTAAATGTGCGGAATGCTAGATGAATGCGCTAAATCTCTCTAATAAAAACTAACGTTACAGCTTTTGACTCCTTTTATACAAAATAACGTGGGCTGCAATCGGAAGAGTACAACAAACAAATCACAACAAAAGTGCTTGACTAAATGTTTGGCTATACATCAGCAAAATTGTATAATATAGTTGAACATTGCTGTATTGCTTAGAAAGATAGTAAGTAAAGTGCATTGAGAACTGAAATATGCTTGACTATGTAGGTGCTAGCGTGTTGCAGAATCATTTTAATTAAGTGCTGTTGGAATTCGTTGTTGTTAAGAGCAACGCTGAAAGGCCTCTGGTTTTTTTTTTCTTAAATCCTTTTCGGAATTTTTCTTTGAAAATGAAAGCGTAGATGTCGGTGAGGGTCCGTTTAAGGTTTTAGCAGTGAAAACACAATGATAGCCGAGAATCAACAGTCAAAAGTTTAAATATATCATCACATTGAACCAAAAGCGGAATCAGAAATACATTACGATTAACAATTACAACGTCAAGCTATTCATATAATATAGAGAATTGCGATTCTTGGTAGGTTAAATGCCGCAGTTTGTCAAGGTGTATATATAATGTCAATATATATATATTTATGTAAGTTGAATTAGAAGCATACAAGCACACAATATAGTAAAGAACGTAGTTGGGAGGAGAAAATAAAACGAGCTGCATTTTTCTCGTCTGTTCATAAGTGTTGCCAGTTGGGGAAAGGTAAAAAATAAAAGATTCCCCTAATAAGTCATTTAGCAGCTCTTTTTTCCTTTATATATTGTCCACTTGAAAAAACAACTCAATATAAAATACACACAAAAAAAAAACAAAAGCAAAAAAGAGAAGAAAAAAAAAACCCAACGAAATCTGTGTTTTTTTTTTGTTATCCGTACACATGAATGTCTTCCGGTTTGTAAGTAGAGAAATTGATAATAATAATAATAATTAATTAATTATAACAGTGTTTGTTGAATGCTTTGGTGGAGGAGTTAGAAGAAGAATTCAACCACAAATTAAGTGCGCTCTTTCGGGCACCAAATCCAAGGAAAGGGAAGCGAGAACTGGTGCCACTTGTTGCAGAACGCAAGGCGGTCCATACACAGTTCGTTTATCCTCTTCCTCCATACCTGAGTGAAAGCGCATTCCGATCTGAAAAATAATAATAATAATAGTAATATGCAATATTATTATTTGACATTACTACTACAGTACAGAACCCGTTATCCGGAAATCAGAAAACCGGAAAACCAAAAAACCGGAACGAAATTCGATAAATTTTTCCACAATTTTTAAAAAAAAAATTTTTTTTCCTCATAAGATTTCAGGATTTTTCTTTCTTTTTTGAAAGATGTTTACCTTAAAATCATTTTGGAAATAATCATTAGTGTATTACTTCATCGTTTTTTCTTCTTTTTAAGATTATTCCCAAAATTTTTTTTTTCTTAGTTGGGTTTAACAATAAAAAAACGGCTTTTTGTAGCAATTCAGAAAACCGGAAAAATCAGTTATCCGGAATAGCGATGGTCCCGATCGTTCCGGATAATCGGTTCCCAACTGTAATAACAAAAAAACGGTCGTTTTTAACCTCGCAATAGATTATTTAAGTTTAAAATCAAAATAAAATATTGTTCCTCAAACAGGGGATGAGATTTAAGACTGTATATTGATTATTGTATAGGATGGCTATAAAATTTGGGGCTACAAAAAAGTTTTTAATAACCTCATTTTAGGATTATCAAAGTAGATGTGCTATTGCAGAAGATTACTAACGTTTTGGGACAAAACATTTTATTTACTTAATTTAAAGAACACCGGAACATGGGATAAGGTTAATGATCTCTTAAATTTTGGACCGAAAGAAAAAAAACTTACCAAATTTTAAGTACATCAATAGTAGGTGGGCTATCGCGTGGAAAAACTAAAATTTGGCGCCACAGCACAGGGTCCTTTTTTATCACCGTTGTTAAACGACCGACCCAATTTTGAGTTGACTACCAATGTTCAACTCTGTAGCCTTGTAATTTTGCACCTGATCCAGAAGACAAAGGAACTCTTGGATCAAACATTGGGAGAAATTCGCCTTCGTGGAGGACTTTTCGTGGAAACTAACCCGCATTTGCGTTGCATGGAGAGGAAGACCACGAGAACCACCAGCGGTTAGCCAGGCGGAAAAGGGACTCTAACCCTTAATCCGTCTACCACTGAGGAACTTTCTTGATGGAACTAACCTATATTTGCGTTACATGGAGAGTAAAAGCACGAAAACCTCTCACGGTTAGCCTGATGGCAAGAATACTCGAACTTTGATCCATGAGGATATTTTATGTAAACACTTCGGTCTATGAGAGCTGAGAGCAGAATTTGTATCAACCGGTCACAGCTGGAATTTGAACATGGGTTACCTCAACGGGAGGCAAACACTCTGCTCCCTGAGCTAAAACGGCATATAGAACAATATTCCTAAAATTGCGATGTGAGGGTAAAAAAACTTTATTAATTTAATTTAAGAACATCGACGGGTTATCGTACAGGACCTCTGAAATTTGAGACCACAAAAAAAATTACTAATCTCATCTTATTAATATCATTAGAAAATGGGCAATCCAAGTTACTTTCCTATGTGTAGGAAAAGCATTCAACCTAAATTTAGGAGCATAAGGGCACTTAAAATTTAAGATTAACATTAAGATTAAAACAACATTATACACCTTTTAAAATTTAAGATTACGTTAAAAAAAAGTTTTTTTTTTCCTTTTTAATTCTGAATATCCAATAGTCAAATATAATATTTTATTTCCTCACAACGGAATATTTTTCGGGTCTAACTTCTTAAAAATTGCATTGAAACACATTAGATAAATATTTAAACGAGCGAGCTATCAAAATCAAAGGAACCACAGCTGAGAAAAGCGGAATTAAAAAACGATTTTTCGAAAACTCAGAAAGGTTTCTATAGACAATTAAAAAAATAAAAAAATTTCTTCACATTCTTTTATGAAAATTCACGCTTTGTTAATAGATGATTTGTAGATGATCTGCAGACACCGATAATACACTAAAATGAACACTGAGTTAATAATTCATGCAGGTATCATTCTCGCTGAAAAAAAGGTACACTATTAAATAATAAAAGCATTGTTCGTAAAATTGCGATGTATTACAAATTTAATTATAATAAACGTTTTTGCGAGATTTTAAGAAATTTAATTTAAAAAAGTGATCTATTCATTTAAGAAAATATAAGCGATTAAATAAACTCAGGCTAAAATCGTATTTTATATTTTCCAATTTTTATATTTCCATCGTGAAACTTTACAGGTTCATTTTAAAAGATTTAAATTGAAAATAAATCATTTATATTGTAAAAAATTAATATTTTAAATGAGTATGTTTTTACAATAAAATATGCATAAAAATCAACAAAATTTTTTGCAATATCAGAAAAAAATCCCAATTAAATCATAAAAAAAGTTTGGAAATTAATAAACATTATTTTTAAGCTAAAAAAGGATTTTACTATACAATACGAACGTTTAACTTTTTAAATAATATTTACGCATTATTGTTTTCGTCACAACAATTTAACTTCATTGGTGGAAAAGGTTCAAAGATAGTTTTTATTACTTATTTTCTGAGTTTCACTAAAAGAAGACACTAATTAGGGGTGCAAAAACTTTAAAAAAAAAAGCCTTTCTTTTACTATAACGCCTTTTTCCATATCCTAATTTAACGGGGATTTTTTGAATACTTTACGATTGCGTAATAATAATTTATCAGAAATAAAACTCAAAGCAGATGTTCTAATTAAGCAAGACTTAAGTTTTATTTTTCAATTTATATTAATACAGAAGTACAAAGAAATGCAGTACTACAGAGAAGAATATAAAAGCAAAACTACAGAAAGGACTAGGAAATGATAGAAACAGAAATGAACATAGTACAACAAATAAGAACTAAATACTAATCTTACCAAATACTGCAAAACATACAAATAAATAATTTTTTTTCAAACTAGTTAATGATTCAACTCAAAAGTTTATGCTTTATTGAATGTTCTTCTTGAAGGTTAAGAATTTTGCCTAGCACCGATTTGTACACTTAGTACAATATTTGGTAAGATTGTTTCGTTTTTGAAATTTTATGGAAATCATGAAAATTGTAATTTGGCTTTTTCGAGCCAAAATATCAAAGAAAACGTTCTTACCGTGTACTGTAATTCTTGGCAGATGTATACATTATATTTCAGTGATATCCATTTGTGAAGGCTGCGGCAATCAGCGGCCCCTAGCGGTTGATAAAAGTACTATTAACTTAGCTCAGAGTTATTACAATTTATAAATACTTAATTTTTTGAAACTTCCTTCAACTAACAAAAATCACGATCAACTAAATAATCAATAAAAAAAATTTTGTTCATAATTTTTTTCAGCATAAATATAATTGTGCTACTCATCTGAATGTAATAATTTAAATATTTTTTTCTTATTTTTAGATTTCAGTTTCAGTTTTGAAACGTGTAAAAAAATTGCAGTTAGTTTTCTATCATAAATCAACCTTCAGAAATATTAACTTTGTTACATTCAATGAAATCCAAACTATAAGTTTCAATCAAATTCATACTGTAAGTTTCAATCAAATTCATACTGTAAGTTTCAATCAAACTCATATTGTAAGTTTCAGTCAAATTCACGTTGTGAATGTAATAAAATTCATAATGTTTAATTTACAACTATTAAATGAAAAGGTTTTAGTTTGTTTTAAAGAGAAAGTAAAATATTACAGAATAAGGACAATCACTTATTAAGAATCTAACATGCATCAGAAAACTTTTACAGAGCCATGCGAAAATAAAATGAAACTAAGAAGCTTTAAATTTAACAAATGCCATTTAAGAATGCGTACATAGATTAACATTAGGACATTAAGAAATAAACTGTTGAAAGCTGTTCTTAACTTGGTTATTAGAAAGAGTAAAATTAGTTCTTTTAAAATTTGTCTCATCTGCTTTGAGAATATTTCCAGAAAATTCATTTTGTTAAGTTTTTCTTGTCAAAATGAACTGTAAAACGTCTCAAATTTCTGACATGATAACATGATATTCAATTTATATTTGAAAATTTTAACTCGATACCATTTTAAAGATTATTTTTTTAAGAGAGGGTTAACCACGCAGAGGACAAGGACATATTTAATTTTTTTTAATAATATAATTTTAATTAGCCGACATAAAAGAGTAGATTTTTAGAAATGACTCGGAAATAAATAAAAAAATATATATACAAGTTTCCCACGCCGTGGCGTTGGACAACCAACCCATTTTTGGGTTTACGATAATGTTAAACTCCGTAGCCGTGTAATTTTGAACCCAACTCAGAAGACAAAGGAACTCTTGAATCAAGCATTTGGATAAACTAGTCTTTGCGGAGGATTGTTTGATGAAACCAACCCGCATTTGCATTATATTATGGAGTGGAAAAGTACGAAAACCTCCCGCGGTTATCCCGACGAATAGGGGATTCTAACTCTTGATGCGTCAACCACTGACGATATTTTACGCGAACACTGCGGATGGTGCGAGCTGAGAGCAGAATTTAGATCAACCAGTCATCACTGGAATTCCAACCATTCGTAAAAGAACACTTTATCGACTGAGGCACAACGGCACTCACACAAAATATTAATATTGCATAAAACAAGGTTGATGTGATGATTTATTACACCAAATAATGCTATGGTAACACGATACTTTATTACACAAGTTTTGCCTGAGAATAATATGGTCAAAATAACCAGAATATGGTAAAATTTACATTGTTTCTGGCTCTATGGGAATACTAAAAAGCTTAGCAATTTTTACCGAAATATTTTGGCAATGACTTTGGTAAAATAAAAAAAGATAAATATGGTTTAATAATGTGTGTAAAATTTGGTAAATGTAGTAAAAATGTGTAATTTTTATCATGAAACTCTTATGCCATGGCGCATAAACCATTTATTTGGTTAAATTTACTTATCAATTTTCTTTATTAATGTGTGGTAATAAGAGTAATTAAAAACCAGATTTTCAGGTAGACATTTACCATATAAACTGAAAAATTACGAAATGAATCGTTTACTTCACCGTATATTTTGATTTCTATTAATTCCATAATTATGTTGTTTTTTTTAAAAACCAGAAATGTCATTACACAAAAAATCACGGTAGTTTCATCGGAATATTTTCTCCGAGTATTAAAGAGGGAAAATTTCTTCAATGCGATTTTCGACTAAAAAAAACATTTTTTACAATTAATAAAATGTTGTAAAATAGTTGTTGGCAAATAGTTTTGTTTTAGATACATTAAAAAATAAATGTTACAAACATTCGTTTTTTTTTCAAAGTAGCAAAAAATATTATTTTGCTACTCTTTATTTTAGTTAAAATGCATAACTTAGTTAATTGCTGCTTACAATTTTCTAATGTATTGTTATTTTTCAGCATATTCATGCTAAATTGATTACCTTCCTCATAAACGAACTCAATCCTTAAATTGAGATTCTAAATTCGTTGAAAAAATAGATTCTTATATCTCATTAGGTTTATTAGTACACATTTTGAAACTAAATTAAAATTTCGTAAATTTACTTTAAATTGATTGTAAGATAATTGAATAATTTCACCTATGTTAGTAAACTTAAAAAATTTTAGTACGCATTTGTAAAATGCTATACAAAATATTTAATTAGATCATATAAAATGTTTTACAAGATGCATCAAAACTTGACACAATAATTTTAATGCTTTATTAGCATGTGATAAAACATTTTGTTAGCATGCTTTGCACATTTAACGTTTCCATATTATGTATATGTATATATAATATAATACTATATTAGGTGAATGTAACTTAATTTACATAAATAAACAATTATGTGCTGTTAATTTACTTTGGAAGTTAATAACATTTGTTATGCAACCGTATAATTCCGATTTGGTATCTTTTTAGGCATCCATATAAGTTCTGAAGCATTTTCAGAAAGACACAAAAGTGCAATTTAATAAAAAAATGAATTCCCAACAATTTTAAAATGAAAATAAAATTTGAAAATCCCGAACTTCTATATGAAAGTATTAGCTAATATCACAATTAATTTAATCAAAATGCAGAGGTATACCTAGTCAAAGATAAGTTTTTTGAGCAAGTACCTAGTCAAAAGAAAATTTTTCAAGTAAGTTCACTCATCTAAAGTAAGTTTTTCGTGCAAGCTCACTTATCTAATGTACGTTTTTCAAACAAGTTTACTTTATCAAGTTAAAGAAAGATAAATATTTATTTTGCGGTTACTAATGAAGAAATAGACTGACAAATTAGCGAACGTAGTATTGTTGCAAAATCGGCAACTATATTACTGCTTAATGGGGAACATTAAGTCATTATTAATATACAGTCATTAATTGCAATAATTTTCTAGTAACATAGGTTTACAAGATTGATTCGGTTAACTGATGTACCGATGTATCGTTCCAGGATTCTAAATAACAGAAAATTTATACTCATAAACTAATGGTACAAAATTTGCATAACTGTTGTAGATCATCAAGAAGAATTAACAATATTGCTCAATAAATATTTTTAATAGTTTTTACAAAAGCAATATATTCTTAAAATCTGTATAAAAATCGCAACGAAGACATTCAAGACGAAAGTTCAACCCTTTCACAAGAGATGGGTAATGTTGCAAGCAATAGTATTGTAAATCTGTTACAGTAGTACGCCAGTGTAGATATCAGAAACTAACAAACATGTTTGTTCAAAGGTGAGCTAAAAGCAATGAAAATATATGCATTTTAACATATACATTTGCAATTTAAATAACATAGTTTTTCTCTTTTTTCTTATTTAAATTGATCTTAATCTCTGTCTGAGCAGAATAAAAATTAACATTTTAATTTAAAAAAAATTAAAATAAATGAATTTCTAAACTTTGTATTATGCTATTGATAAAATATTTTCTGTTTCTGATTTCAAACAAATCCACCAAAACTACAATCGACTTATCTGCTACCTTTCATTCACACAATAAAAACATTGTTGCATGATTTGGTTATTTTCTTCTGTTTCATTTCAGACTAGAAAAGTATCTGTTATTTTGGAACAGCTATTTTTAATACATATTGATTTCTAGTGTATAACAACAGAATATATAAATTTTAAAGTACCAGTTACTACCTCTATTAGCTATTCACCTAGTATTAAGGCGAAGTCAAGTACTCACCCTACTTACAGCAATAGGTGGGAAGCCCGTGGGTTGGGGGCTGGTGGCCTGCACATAGCCAACACTATCTTGACCAGAAGTGTAGAGGTCGATGGGTCCAGGACTATTGGTAGCTGGAAAGCCACGACTGTTAGCAGGAGATGTAGGTTGCGCAAAACTCTGAGGCCCGTAATTGTTAATTACTGAAAAATCATAAACAAGATTCATAAGATTGTATAAGTAAAACTAATCCAAATAAAGAAATTGTTAGTTTTTCAAGAAATATTAATAGACTTTTGCTAACAGCGCTCAGTATGATGAAGCCCTTTTGGTACACTTATTGCACAATCCCTAAGCAAAAGGCTAAAGGTCAAGTAATTGTGGTTATACCAGAATCAGAGTACATTGTAAAAAATTCAGGGTTTTAACTTAACCAGCAACTAAACATAGTGATATAACTTAACGTAGCTTTTATCAAGAAAAGTCAAAATGGAATTGAGCATTAAAATATAACACGCTATTTTAAATATTGCATAGGTTAGATTCATAACAAACCAATTGGCATGAATTACCTATTAAACGTTACACAAAATTCTGGAAAAACTTGCATTATTCTACATATTCAAAACATATTCTCTTACATATTTCAAAATTATGCAATATTTAAATATGTGATTATACAACTACTAGAGAACATTTGTAATATGTTTATAAAAAAATACGCAACAGACTTGTACGCTTAAAATATTTCAAAAGTGTTTAACATTAAAGTATGTAATTATACAACTACTAGACAAAATTTTGGTGTCTTTTTTTAAAAAAAAAATACGCATTAGACTTGTATTTATTCTTAAGTATTTCAAAATTATGTAATATTAAAGTATGTAATTATACAACTAGACATCCTATGTGGGATGTTTAAAAAAAAATACACAACAAATTTCCCCTTCAAAACTATATATGATGATATATTATAAAACACGAAGAGTTTGAAATTATTTTAAACTACAGTAGTGTCAAATTTATTCAGAGAATTGAAAAAATGACCTACTACTAAAACTACTAAACAATATGAAGTCACACCAACCAATGTTACCTGAAAGAGCTTGAGTTAGTAGTGGGGGTGACGTCTGCTGACCATTCAGCTCCACTATAAGCAGGCAAAGGGAAAAGATAATAAAGCTCTGTTAGTCATCTGGCAGGGTAAGTCACAGGAATTTCACAATACAATAAAACATGCTAAAGACAATTTTGGTAAACGAAACTGGGTTGTAGTTAAAAATAATATGCATTTAGTAAGTTAAAATATGGCATCCGGAAAACAATAACTATGCAACATTTTTGTCCTCAAAATAATATATTTTTTAGAAAATCTAAACGCATAACACAAAACGTGTAACAAAAAAGGATACATTTAAAGCATCCAGAAATTTAGCTCTTCATAAAATGCAAATACGTTAATAAGCCTAATTTGGAAAAAAAATAAAGAAAGAAAATAAAAACTGCAGGAGAAAGGTATATTATTGGAACACATAATTTATTTTCCAAACCTTAAACAGTTAAATTAAATTTTGAATTATTCAAATAGAGTTTAAAGAACTTAAGAATAAAATGTTTGAAAACTATATAATCTAAAACAATCCTAATATTAAAATATCGTTTGAAATTTTACAAAATTCTTTGCGTAAAAATATTTAACAAAAACAATTTTTTTTCAATTTTTTACTAACTCCAAATTATTCTTACCTCTTATATAATCCAAAGAGTTATAAAGCTCGCAAGAATGATTTTTTTTTAACTACAACTAACTATCTACAATGGGATACTAAAAGGAGATATATACTACATGGGGAACTACAGTGATATTAGAATAGAATAACCTTCCTATAGATTTTTGAGAGTCTATTTTGAAACTAAAATCATTGGTATAATTTGATAAAGATATAAGTTGGATAAAAATTAGAAGTAAGGCTATCAGAAGTAAAAGGTTCTATTGTATACTGGGCCTATTTAGGTCTGAATGTTTCTATAAGAAATGAGACTATATAGGTCTTCTTTGGTACTATGTGGCTACTACTTACAAGACTACAGAGAAAATGTACTACAGAGTATAAAATTAGAAATTGATGACTTGGACAATATGTTTACAACGACAAACACAACTACTTTTATCAATACAACAACACACAGACTACTAAGCATTAGATAAAATTTAATTCAACGCAAAAGACTATGTTATGACGAAACTAATTTAGAACAATACACGTACGAGTAGTTCAATTATAGAATGAAATAAGATAGACTACATTTTGAGCATTTGAAAGAATTTATAAAGATATTTATTTTTGTATAGCGATTTAAAAACTTATTTCTATTCTAAATATTTTTTTAAAGTAATACATATATTCAATACGATACAATTCATATCGAATGATTTGTTATGATTTTAGAAATGAATAAAAAGTTTAGTGTATAATTTGATACTTATTAGATAAAATCTAGCAAAATGCACTTTAGTAAGAAGATTTAATACAGAAAAATGCAATTTAGTAAGAAGTCAATATCAACTTTAAAAAAAAAGCCTTTGTTAAGTGTGATTTTTGTGAAATATTCATGTACTGATTCAGTGTAATATTCACATTTAATAAGATATTTTTATGCATTTAGTGACTAAATATTCCTTAAAAAGCGTTTTCTGGTAAAAATGTTTCTATTAATAGAAAATTAAATTAAAACGTGTAATGAAATTTAGATCAAATATTTCCTCATACATTTAAAAACTAGTTTAAATTACAGTAATAATGATAGTCAATAAGAATAATTTAATCCATATTATTTATTATATGTATATTTTACTGCATCTATATTCCACAAAAAAGAGATTAATTTTTAAAAAGGAAGTTTCATAATTTATTAAACTACTTCGAACAGCTCAATTGATAAATTTTACGCCGCATTCTGTTAAATCAAAACAAAACTATAATTGATTAATATAATTTTCAATTAATATATAATATTTTACAAAATACAAATACTGATATTAAATAATATCAATAAAACACACAGTATTGAATACTTTATTTAATAAGATATACCATACTCATGCAATGTTTCCAACTAGTTGATTGTTTTGGAAAGAACAGTGCAGATTTTATATCTATATGGTAGTACATTTGATAGTTTCAAACCTTAAAGGAATCTATAACTAAAGGTATTGCACAGTGATTACGTGCAAAGGTGCAGAACTAAACCTAGTGAAATATAGTAGGAAGTTACTAATATTTACAACTTTTCAAAATGCAATAAAGTTTATTACTATTTAAAAATAAAAGTAGCATTTTTTAAAGTTTGAAGCCTGAAGTATGAAGCTTGCAAAATATTCAGTGACTCCACTTACACGCTATAGCGCGTCAAATGCGCCTTTAAAACCGTTAAGGGGAGGCACAAAATAAGTTATGACGCGTCTCCACTAGAACACGCAATAAAAATTTAGCGCACCCATAGATTTATGCAAGTAAAATTATAACCTAACTTTAACTGTGTAAAACAATTCTTGTTTTTTCTTTATGAATAGCTGAAGGAAAAAATGAGAATAGTTCTGGGTATTAAATTACATCCTTGCTTTTCCTTGTTTAAACCCAATTAAAAAATTTGATAGCTCAAATAATAACCTCTTTTTCTTATTTTGAAATTTTTTTTATTAATCAAAAGATTAGAATATGAACTTGAATATTAACAAATGAAGAGGTAGAGGCTTCACATTTTAAACCAAGACACGCTTTTAGTTAAAGAAAAAAGGACCCAGAAATTTTGTTTCCTTTTTATGAATTTGGGTCTCTTTTCAACAAAAATATAGGTCCCTGAGCACTAAGGATCATTGAATATAAGGATGTTAAAATCAAACAAAAAACTATTTATAACTTTTGAAAGAAATAGAATGCAAGAGAAATAACAAAAATAATACCTGTGGATTTAGTTAAAAAATAACTATATAAATTGTTTGTTTTTTAAACTAAAACGGCAAAAAATATCCGGATTAAAAACAACTTTAGAAGCGAGGCAAAGTAGTTATTTATTATTTTTTAAACTTAGCTTTTTTATACAAGTTTCTTTCTGCGCTCTTAGAAAATAGATATTTATTTTTTTTAAAATTAGTAATATAATAAATCAAAATCATTTGCTCTATCAAAAACAAGGCTTTCACGAAAAAAGTATTTATTTATATTGATTATAATGTTTTACCAGATAAATTTTAATAATATTCCTACTCGAGTAGGAATAATTAATTCGAGTTGGAATAATTCTAAAATAATTTTCTTACAACTACTAAATAATATTCAAATATAAGTCTTTCTTCCATTTTTCAACGCATTTTATTGCATTATATTACTATTAAAAATTTGCTTTTATTGTCACGTCTCAAAAAATCTTTCAAATGCTCAAAATTAACTAATATTGAGAAAAACATGCAAAGTAGTGTGTACAGTATCATATATTGGAGATATAGAATGAGTAACTAGTCTACAGAGTACAATATTATACAATGGATGATGTAAAATGAGTATCTAAACTACAAAATCTACAGAATCAATACTACAAAATCTACAGAAGATAGACAATATTGAAAGAGAGTTTAATTCATGAAAGATTTTAACAGCGCTACAAATTTCTACTTTAGGGCATTCACATACAAGAAATCAACATTTTAAATCGCTACTTTATTTCATACAATCATGTCTTTCCAGTACAAGACTATTTCACATACTCTACTATCTGTTCTAAATTCAACTAAGTCTTCAATACTGTAATGAAAAAATGTTAATACAGTTTTTTTTTTACAAAGCCAGTGAATGTGGTGAAATTGGATTTAAGTGTTTTTGTTTTTGTATGACTTAATAAAAATATTTAATAATTATGTACTTTGTTATATCTTTTTCCAAAACCAAATGAAATAAAAGATTTACTAGCTTAATTTAAACCTGTTTTTCTTTTAAAAAAATATTAAAATAATATTCAATAAGTGTTTTTTGTTTTCTTGTTCTGTATGTTTAAGAGATTTCAAATTTTAACAAGGCGAATTTTTTAAGCTTTTAGTTGTTTAATTGTAAGAGTCTTTTTTTTTTTACTAAAGTTCTTACTTTCTAAATTTTTAATGAGTTTTAAGGATATAGTTAAAGTATTTTTCTTTAAAAAAATATAAGATTCAAATAAAAATGCTTGAAAAATAGATTTAGTATATATTGAGAAAAAAAATAGAAGTTCATTTTTACAAGGGTACAGATGGATCAAACTATTTACCTTAAAGTACAATATATATNTTTTGGGAAAAGAATATATATATTTTTACTTTTTTTTAAATTCAATTTTGTTTTCAAAAGGCTTGCAAAATTCGCAATACCATTAATAAAAAAACGATAAAATATTGCAAATTTAGTTTTTTGTATAGCTGTTTTTACTTCACGCATTTATAAAAGACTTTTACAAAGTAAATTTTGAAAGTTTCTATACAGAGTGAGAATAACTTGATAATATACGTATTTGAATATTAAAAGACTCTAAGTGTAATATTATAGTGTCGAAAATGTTCATTTTTAGTAATGTGATAAGTTGAAGTAGACTTTTTACCAGAAATGTATAAATCTTACTAAAAAATAAGGTATTTTGAACTAACTTATTGGCAAAATAAATATAAAATTTAAATAATTATTAAAATTAAATGAAAACTAAAGAATGATTTACGAGTGAATATGACGTTAAGAAATTGAATAGCATGTGCAGTGCACACTTCAAAATAAATATTTCAGTAGGGGAGGTCAATATTAACTTCTTGAAGGAAATTTTCAGTTTCTTATTTTCAACAAATTTACTATATTTTTTAACATTTTGGTAAGAATTATACACCAAACAATTTTGTTTAATAATAAGAATAATCTATCGAAAAAGTTCAAGAAAAAAAACTCATCAACACTAAAACAACAAATCAAATTTAAGAGGTAGAATTTTAAAATTCCATTTTGGGGAGAACTTCATTTGGTATTGTTTCCGTATTTAAAAATTATACGTTGAACCTTAAAATATTCTTAAAATGTATAAACTATATTATATTAAAAATCCCTTCATCAGTATTTTCGAGTGGACAAATAGCTTAAA